GATACGTGAGGAATATACGGTCGTAACATCTAACTCTTCTCAATTCCGTGTTCCTTTAATTTTTTTTATTTCTCTAATCGTTGGTGTCTGGCGACAATTTTTACTAATGCTAAGATTTCAACCATCGTGGTAGAATGCTGATTAGCTATGGTTACCATAGCAACCCTTTCAAAAAGACGCGCGCCAGCCATCCGGACTATCCAGGTTTTCTGTCTCCGATGCACGAACTTAGTTACATACGGAAAGTGTTATTTGGGAGGCCTCTCTCTCTCACTTGCTAACTAATCAGAAACGACATACGCTGCATATCCACAAAATGTTTACATTTCACAGTCAAATACATTTGCTTGTTAGATCGGAGATTCTCATCTTCTATTTAGGCATGGCGCAAAGATAAGATTTCGTCAGCTAGTGAGACATATTTAACCCTAAAAATTTAATGAAAGATCTTTGAAGCCATTAAGCAACATATGAAAGGCTCCACTCGACAATTTCCATCGGACTCGCTCCAACATCTGCTATCATCAAGTAGAAAAACGCTATGCTCATTCAATATCAGATCCTCTTTTATAACCCCAGCATTGAATACGGTAACGTATAGTCATCTAGGAAGAACTCCGAACCGCTCAGGCTCAACCAGGCACTTTTTGACAAGAACATCACGGAATGTTGTTCCTTCCCAGCCTTCGCAAACCTTCCCAGATATCTAAACTTAAACCAAAGGCAAAAAAGAACCATAGACGTTCACATTTAGATTATTTAATTGCTATTTTATCTAATAATTACTATCATTTTACCGCAGTAGCGTTCAGTCTGCGCGGCTTGAAGTCAGTTGTGTGAATGGCGACGACGTCGCCTTTATTTATTTATATTTATAGTGGAACCGTTGCTCCATAGAAATAAGTAAATTACGATAAATGAACGTAAATTATAAAGGAGTAATGGAAATCTTGTTTGTTAATAACATTTATGCTAATGTGTAAAAACTGAACTATAATACAGATCGAAACACCTAGTATATACGCATAGTAATAGTATATATATGTGACTGTACAGACCGCAGTGGTGCATTGGAGAAATTGACGAAGCGGTTTATTACGTATATATTTACTTGGTAATATCTACGAAGGAAAGAACACATTTCCTGCTTCCTAATTTATTTTTCCGAAAAAACCTTTTTTTTTTTTTATTTAGTCTATATATATATATATATATATATATATACATATATATATATATACCTTTTATTTGTAAGCCTTATCAGCCAATTGTTTCTGCACACCTGTCAACGATTTTGGCACATCCTATATAGCCATTGGTGGCTTCACTCAAAAATGGTTAGGTAGAAATTTTAAGAATAATATTTGAAATTACTTCGAATATAAAAATCTATTTTCCATATTTTATCATTCCCTTCTATGATATTGTGGTTCTCTGCGTGTTTATAATCTATTTGGCTTCTGCACCGCATCAACCACACAATAATAATTACACGAACAAGTCACTTGCATAAGTAGGTATAAAAACGTAAGACAAAAAAGGTCAAGGTGCCTTATCGAAGTAATTGTATATCTGTATGTGTAACGAGCATAAAAGCAACCGAGGGACGCAGACTTTGTGTGCTCTTGACCATACCACCATCGTATAACTTCTCTATTGCGATTCGATGACTCAGTGAAGACCTGCGCTGTCTGGGTCACTAAAGGGTGTGGATAGATAGACGGAAGAAGACGTAGGAGGCATTCAGGGGGTCAGATGGCATCGTGCACCTCGATCTCGTTGAAGCCTGATTGGGTTACACCACCCATCTGTACCTCTTTAGGAGCGCCGACTAACGCGTGGAGGTGATGGTGACTCATGATAATAGAAATAATTGTGATAACGGTAATAATTATTATAGTTCCACGCATGACTGTTACGCTCGAGATGTGGAGGTCACGAAGAGTTCGATAGGATTCAAGTACTATGGGAAACCACCCGTTTATCTAGACCAGCTCATAGTCTTTAGACAAATCGTTGCTTTAATTACAACCGTGTAATCGGTTAGTGAGGTCTCTACCAGCCTACTAATATGAAAATAATAACATTTAGATTAGAACGAGCGTCTGATAACGGCTAGTTTGAGAGAGACACATCTCTTAAATTCGCTGTTTAGACAGATGATGCTCAGCATATATTAACGGTTGCCGTTGGTTCTTCGAAGTCTACGTTTGCTGATATTCAGACATAAGGATTCTTCGCTTGTTTTATTGTTGCCACTTTGTTCATAGCACAAATTCAACCTTGGGTACAAATTCAGACTTCAAAAACGGTTATGTTGAAGGCAGCATCAATATTTACGTTCGTAAGGTTATCCAGTGATTAACCTACTTTATCCGAATTCGAGGAGCCGAGTGGCGTGCGTCCTTTAGGTCTAAAGCGCCATCTTTGATCTCAGTAAACCAACTTGGGGCTTGACTGACAGATGACAATCTTATACGACGTTGTTACGGCAGTATTTTGATGTCGGCAAGCAAAAATAGAGAAGTGTCCTTCCTTTTTTCCACTCAACATAACCCCTCTGTGGAACCCGAACCTGACGCAAAGCAAAAATACTCGAGCCACCTATTAGAATACTAAGCCCATAAAAACTTCGTAGACGGTTTATAACTGACATTTGTTCAGAGCTAAACATGGCCTAGGCCATTGTCAAGTGTACAACCTACAATTTTCAAAAGTTTAACTTGAGATTTTTTTCTATAATAAAAATGCCAGCTGGGTCTGATGTCCTTCAAATACCTAAAGGTTGAAACGATGCCAACACTCATCGAAGTCTGTGTAGGTGCATGCTTTATAGGTCTAGTTTTCACTTTTGACAGAATATTTGCTTGAGCCATCTTACCGTTGTCATTTATTTATAGGCGTAATACTGAAGTAGAGTCAGTAAGGTGTTGGTTAATCGATGTTAGAAATAGGTTAATTTTGAGCATAGATACAAACGTACACGTACATATATGCATACGTCTAGCGAGCTAATAGATGTTCTGTCAGAGTGAAAGGCTATAGAATAGTCCACGACCCATGATCTTTTTGCCATTAGACTCTCGGATTACGTTGTCTAACTCGGCTTTCCTATAATGAATCTTCTCGTTTTCGAGACTGGTTTGTTTGGGTCCGGTCGTTGGTGTAACACTCGACTGCAAACGTAATTAGCTTGATAAAGGTCAATGCAGAGCTTTTCATGATAATGAAAATACTTCATTTTGTCAAAAGGTACGATTCCGTGGCCTGCATTAGGTGTTAAACACGTTCATAGGGGACGATTGCTTTTGTCGTCTTCAAGTGCCACTGCTATTCGTTTCCACGATTTCCGAACTGATCGCCTTAACGCAAGCGTTGCATACTTCACTTATAAGGGTTTGTATAATTACAACTGAGTTCGAAATCATTTGTAATACTTCTCCTATTGGCCAAAATCTGGTTGATCAATGTTTACGCAACGAGAGTGCAACATCTCCTCCTTGATCGACACAGACTCCAAGTCTGTAACGGTTTTGGGATGACAGGCCTTCGATAAGGTAGAAATCACTGTTCGAAATTAAGATTATCTTGGTTTTTAATTCAGTTGTGCTACTTATCTTACTTGTCACCCAAAAAGCTATCTGTGTATGAATGATCAATGCGTTCTTAAGAGAACTTTCAGCTGAATGCAGGTATCGGATAAGCTGAGCTCGACACCGCCACAATGGGGGGTGATCTGTAACTAATGCTAATACTTCTACCCGTTTGCCTTACCTAGTTATGACTTTCGAATAACAGATTAGTTCAAAATGATTTTAGCTCACATCCGATAATGGGGCTTGATAGTAAGCCAAAAATAACCAATGACAGATCCCGATCTGACACGGGAACAAATCGAACTTTGCGTTTTACTCCTAAGCGAACATTTAGATAAACAAGTTTTTTGTTTTGAAAAAATACATATATATGTATATGACACGTAACGCGTACGTTGCTCATCCGATAGGACCTCTAGCAATTCCTTCCTCCGAGAGATATCTTTATGTATTTGTACATATGTATTTAACTCTATTTATCGTACTTTCGTCCTCAACAGCAGCAGCAGCAGCAGCAAGAATAGTAAAAGTAGCTGTAAAGGTATCAGTGTTGTTCTTCGGATTTTTCCCGACTGAGGTCTGCTGTCGACCTGTCTCCTTGTTTGCCTGACGTCTCCTGACCGATGAGGCATCATCCTGCCTTTCTGCTTCTACGATTATTTTACGTTGTCACTGTCAGTCTGTTTTTCTCCTTCTATCGGCCATCTCCTGTTTAGGATAACACTCTGTCGTTACTTCTCTGTTACCTATGCCATCAGCTACGCTACGCTTGTTCCCCTTCTCCTTATTCGTTTTCTATATTAGTCCACCCAAACCCCAAAGGCTCTGATGTTCATGTTAGACGTCCCTTTGTTTCCCGTCGTTCTGATCGTATGGCCAGACCTAGGCAGACAGAGAAGAGCACGGGCGGGCCTCGTTTCGTACTGACATTAGTCCTGGAGCCTGCAGGACGGCATTGTTAAGCTATCCCATGACAACTTTGCAGCCATCCACATTTATCTACTATGGGTTATGTCTGTCTGTATGGACGCAAGAGCGTCAACGAAACAGGCAGAGATCATATAGGAAGGCTATTGTTGTAGTTGGGGTGATTTTTCGGTTGGCAGCCGGTTGGCAGCCGGTTGGGCACTTAGTTACGTGAAAAGCTCAATACGAACTATAAGCAAATTTCAAATCGAGCGTTGCTGCCGTACAGTTAGACAGACTGAAATACTGGTATTTCGCACATGCAGTTTGTCATACAGTGTCTGGCCTGTCTGGCGCTGTGGGGTAAAAAGACAGTGGGACGAGCAAGACCCGTGGCCTATGGTTGGCATTCTCTCTTCCCCACAACAGCGCTTAGTGGAAAGGGTCGCTACATACCCTCTCATACTGTCAAGGGCAGAGGATACCGGCATGTGCCATCGTTCCTATCGCCGCCGCCGCGGCCGTTGCCTCCTCCTGTTCATAGCAGGACGACTCTTTCTCCCATCGGTTCGAGCTAGCAGGATTTACAGTCAGTCAACGAGCCAGTTTTCGTACGAGCGCCGTTCGGAGCACCGAGTGTATGAGCACCCGGCAGTGTATAAGAAAACTTAAAAATTTGGTGTTACGGTCAGGGAACGTCATATTACGCATTCTGAATTTAGTCGTTACGCTCTTTGCTTATACTCTACATCAGTTAATGACAACAAAAACTTAATGTATTAGAACCCGTTGAGTAACTATCGGCGACTGCTGGTGCTCTATAATTATGTCTTGCGGCATTTGAGACGAAACTTTCTGCTCAGAGCGCTAGTAAGCGAGCGCTAATATATGGATTGCGTAATAGAGAGCCTACGTAACTTCAATTTGATCGGAGGGAACATATTGATTTAGTTACATTATTAAATATAGCTACTGCTGTCAATCGCCGTAGCGCTAAAAGGAGCTTTTTATGCAAATGCATCGATCATAGTAACTGCCCGGAAAATGGCTGTAACAATGGAGGAAAACACAATGCCAAGGTCCAGTAAACAGTTCGACAATTTGTTATCGAATCATACGAAACAGTGCCGCTATCTATCGGTGCTTAGGGCCGAGTGACAACGACTCTAATAACTCTAACGTTCGGATTGAAGACTTCGACTCGGCCTGGCAACCTGTATGGTCCATACACAGAGTGAGTCCCGTGGGAGTACTTCGTAGAGTAATTTTTCTATGCTAAATGAATAGAAACTCTAGCAGATTGCAAAACGACGCGGTCCTAGTATAGATTCAACTCATAGTAGCTCATGGAATAAGTGCACGTGTCATTACTAAAGAAATAACAGTAGCAAACGCTTATTGGATATACCGTAGTTATCATCAAGGTGGTCTGCTAAAGACGTTGTGCCAGTTTTCCAAGTGTTAGTGTGATTGGACTTAGCAATTGGGAGTCGGTGCAGTGAAATGTAGCAAATTGTTTGCCGCTAACATAGAATTCTAATGTAGTAATCACATTGGAGACTGTCCTATCGTTCTCAACCGAAAGCATAACGGCAACCATCGCAGCGACCCTATTGGCAGATTCATGTTGATCCCATCTGATTTGTGATCACTAAGGGCCAACCGGAAGAGCCTGCGCAAGAGTATCATGATGATGATGATGATGATTATATGGCCTTCTTTATTTAGCCTTAACACCACCCTTTACCTACGTTCTTGCCGCCGTCAGCGACCTATAGCCGTTGCTGTTATTGTGTATTGAGTAGTAAGGAAAATAGAGCAACAACAGTGCGCGAATCCCTCCTTGATCGTCACGATATCGGCCATTATCATCGACAATCTCTATGGCTGCTCATCATCTATCTAATAAGAATGATACAGAAGCACTAAGAGGCTGGATCATGAAAGTCCTCTACGTCTGGTTAATCCTTCTGCAGATCCTGATGCTCAAGTCAACTTTGATTGAGGCGAAGCGAGGTAAGCGCTAGACGGACGAGTCGATGCTTAGGCAGCACAAAACGCCAGGTAGGTGACATGTAGCGAATGCAGGTTAGGTCGATTGCAAATAAGCTGACATGGTCCTGTTTGGCCGATGAGTCGCCAAGGAAAAAATGCGAATCAGTGGAGCGCTGAGCTCGTCAGCTACAAGCGTTAGTACGATACACACATGTTTACATCGTTTAATACAATGCTATGACCTGGAGTGTAGTAGCAACAGCGGAAACGACATATGCTTGGTTAGGGACTGGTGCTTTTGGCGAGGGTTAGGCGAATCCAGCAAATACCTGTGAAACTATTTCCATCGGTAATATGCCGGTTTTAATTATAACTAACAATTGAGGGTCAAGCCAAAAAACAGGATGACACTAACAGGGTGCCATGTTCAGATCAACCTGATGCTATTCATGATGTACACCCCTACTAGTACTAACGTCGTTTTTCTATTCAATTTTCCCAATTGACAGGGATCCTGTTATAATAACTATGTAAAGCGTTTCGCATATACATTTAAAGAGCTAGTTAATAGGCTATAGTGAGTTGCCATTTTAGATCTGAGCCTTAAGCTTAAACATCCGCATTGAAGTCAGTGCTTTTTTTGTCTTGCGATGTTAGGTACATCTCTTCTTCAACGTTGTACTGCCTTTCGTTTGAACGGCAATAGAGAGAACCTACTTTCTATCGTTGAAATAGTTACGTATTATAGTAGATCGACCTTCTACTGCACGTAGTACAGTGTCGGATATACCCAGTTTCGTCCTCGTGGCGGTACGCGTTTGTCGACTGTCGTAAACTTGGATGACCCGCTAAAAACCTTCGAAATGTTCGCTTAACGTTGGTGTTTTTGGCTTGATCTCGCTGTCCGCAAACAAGAATAGAAAAAAAAAAAAAAAAACAAACAAACAAAAGAGACAAATCAAATGCAACCTAGGTGGACACTTGGCGTACTACTGTTGTTGAAAAGAGTTTTTCTTTTCTCCGTCCAGAATCTTTTCTCGCATGCGAAATTTTTTCTTGTCAAAGCCCAACCAATAGCATTGTCGTTCGCAAACGTGACGAATTTATTATGGGAAAAAAACAACGAGACAAAATAGCTCCTGTACAATTCGTGTTCCCAATAAGACTCGAAAAAGGGAGACCTGTTTACGTTGAGGCTCATCGTATATAATAGCATCACGGATAGACAAACGATGTTTGCGTATCGCTGCGATCTCGTATATCTTCGGTTCCGGTTTTAGCATCAGGGCAAAAAACAAACTCTCGTATCGATAAGTAGCATAGGTGCAGCCCCGCGTAGATGGACCGAAGTATTGTATTTTGAGGCGATGTATCGGCCGAAGCTTTTGTTCTCTGCGATTCTACATGCGTATCTCGCTCGAAGGCGGTGGCAAGAGATAAACTATATAGCGTCCACATAGTGCATGTAAATGTATTCGAAATAGACCGAATAGACGTCGATGCAGAAGTAGTAGTAGTTTATCGCAGAGAAAAATGTCTCCGTACTGACAACTAACATCAGAGATGCTTTACGGTCGATTTTTTCCAACGGACGCAATTGTACGGTATAGCGATGATTGACAGACAGTTCCTAAACAGGCCCAGTGATATGTCCGGTGGGAGAAGTGCTAGTTTGTAAATTCGCTGTTTGTGTTGTGCGTTCGTGAGTGGGTGGCTGTTTGTATGTGTACGCAACACATTTTTTCGCGTAAATGCTAAACACATCGGCTATATGGCAAGTCTCCTGTTGGTTTCTAGCTCGTGCGTGCATCGACGTGCGCCGCAAGTCGGCGGCCATAAAGATGGCTGACGTTTGCTGCCGTGACGGCGATAAGCGGGCCTGTCGACGGCTGAACGACTAAGTCGTAAGCAGTTGAGTAAAGGGAAAAAACTAGCTGCTTTACGCCAGGTGATGGCCGATCATTATCAGTCAAGACAGCAGGAGCTCTTTCGTGTAACAAAAAAGTCACTATTTTCTCATGATAGTTCTTCTGTTAGCGGTTGTGCTTAGGATCTCCTAGTTCTATCACACTACTATAACTATCGGCCGAGGGAATCGTGATAACTGCTATTATTAGGAGTGGTATTATTATGATATCAGAAGTGTTGAAAGTGCTAGCTCTAGTGCACTACTTATTGTTAAGATCTTAGCATTTAACTCGTTTTCATCAGTTCATACAATCGATGACCAGAGGTACACACTGAGATCCACTTTCTTTGTGACTCAGATAAAGTCCTGCCTACTGCAATATGTGCTAGCTCTGCGCGGAAGGGGGATTTGCACCATTGCATTTCTTTCTTACCGCAATAGCGTCAAACTTCAGTGTATCTGGCAATGGACTGTGTCTTCGTTCAAACTGAGCCTTGCCGCTTCTTGGATCGACTCCAGTACCTGTTTCTTGATTATAATGCCATACAAATTAGATATACCCTATTCGGGACAAGGAATATTCAAGGCGCCGTAATTATTCATAGGTATGTTGAAAAGCCATTATTGTATTTCTCATCATTGCTTCGTTCGTTGTTACCAGGAAGCTTGAAATTTTAGGTAATCTGAAGTTCGAACTAATTACTTAGTAGGTGTGACTAACGATAGCTATTGCTGATTTGTAACGTTAACTATTAACTAATGAACGGGAACTGAGAACAACGGTAATCTAAGCCTTGAAAGTTACTCGTAAGTCTAGGAGAACGTGAACGTGGAAGAAGGGGTCTAAGTTTGACCTTCCCTTAGTAATTATGGTAACCGCATGGCCACGTTACGATACAATACAGTCGGTAGATTTGAGCGCGGCTGATAACATGCATTGCAGTAAATGCACGTGACCGGTCGCTCGAGAGCCAATATTCCATAACCATACGCGGTAGCTGATCCGAGCTGGCACGCCTTCGTACAGCCCTAACCAACATTCATGCTATACAATGAAAACAAAATACATCAACATATTGAAACAACAAGTAGCTCTAATAATCGACAACGTTATTGATGCGAGAATGCCTGTTAAGTCTGATGACACTGGGTTCAAATCTGCGAACAAACATCACTACTGGAAGTTTCTCCTTTATAAATCGTCGGCACAACTTCTTGTTAATAGTTTTCCGGCTGTTTGTTCTCTAACTTAGATTCGTTCAGAAAAGTCAGAGCAGCCAATGTTGGTCAATGCCATTAAAAGAGGTGGAATTGTCTATGGCTAGAAAGAAATTCTGTTTCCAATTCTCCTTTCAGGACGGCGTTAGCGTGGTATCCGATGAGGTTTTGACCGTTTTGATATCATCACATTTGTTTCCATTATGGTTACCTATGGCCGCTATATGTGTACGTATATATATTATACGCGTACACACGTATATATATATATATGTACGGCTTAATCCTCCTAAGTCCCTCTCTTGCGGATTTCCACCGCGAGCACATAGACATACTGCTGTCTAAATGCTTAGTGCTCTTTAAAAGCAGCAATGCGCGCTGTAGCCGCCGCGTTCCGCTGACGCCGGGCGCTTTTTCCGTACAAGCGAACATCGAACCTGCACAGACGTCACTACCACTACCTTCATTTCGTCGATCCTACCCTAGTTCGCAAATATTAACATGTAATATTCACTATTTTGCATATCGCTCGCACGAGTGCACGCTACCCGTCGGCACGTCGAGGCGAAGAAGCTGCGGTGAGCTGGGCTGAGTTAGGGTAAACGACAGCGCAGGCTACGCGTTGTGTGTCCCCTGTCCACGCTCATTTTTGCAGGGGAATAGAGAAAGAAAGGGTTATATTTGGGTCGACTGGTAACGACAGCTGTTACTGAAGGGGAGTGCATACAAGGAAAAGTGAAAAAGTAGCGTAGCGCCATCAGCGTACGGCTAGAGAACTGTGCGATTATCTCTGGAGCAGCTTCACCCACGGAGCATCGGATACCGTTGAAGATAGCGCAAGGGATTTTTACGACGCGTTTGTTGTTGAGTCGTTGAACACGGTTGGCTTAACGAAACGAATTAGTAAAGTACATTGTTGTTGATTAATAACGCGTAAAGCTATATATTTGAGTACTTAGCCAGCACTGTGATTGTCGTACTGTGTGATGAGAAAAGGCCAGTTCAAGGTGTGTGCGACCTGCCGCTAGCGGTTGTCATTCATTGGCGAACAGCTATTACCTTAACGGTTACTATTCACACGGCTATGTCGTATACAAAACCGTTTCGTAATAGATAAACACTTATAAAACCTTATCACAAATATATACCAAAGAAAAACGTATCACGTAGTAAGTTCCGCTGAACGGCGTGAAACGGCTGGACGTCCCGCACAGGATCCATATTTAATCAGTATCACTTGTACCGTTGTTTCTAAGCGCCAATTCGTTACTGGCGGAAGCTGTTACGTCGATATACTTGTAAATTATCTACATGTAGCGCATTTACTTTCGGACTCATTCATATGGAACTGTCGCATTGCGGCTCGAAGCTTGAGCGATAACGACGACACGAGAACAGATAGACCCTCGTTGATTACTGGAACGCTGCTCATATTGATATAGGCAATACTTGTCACGATTGTTTTGCTTGCTATATGCTTGAAAGGTTCGAGCTTCCGGGCGTCTTTGTGACGCTGCTATCATCTAGGCAATAATAACGTGTCTTCGTTGTTTGCGGCTTCTTACCCAAAGTAAACTCTGTAACTCGTGGGTACCGGCTATCTTAGTTTTTCTGGACGTTTTATTGTTTTCGTCACGGTTCATTCACAAAAAGATTTCACTAGCTACGGAAGCTAGTTCAAAACACAATGACGGTATATTGAAATGAACGTGTCATTAGAGCCAATGGCTTTTGGCGCAGAAAATGTTTCACAGCAGCCTGAATCATGGCAGGCATTGTTTTAAGTGCGTATATATTTATGGTATAAATAGTACGGGCAACGTATCTCCAGCAATTGCCGGCAATGACAATTACTGTGTTGCTATTATAAATATTACTGTAGGGGTAGGTATAT